TCTGTCAGTCCCATCTTGCCTGGCTTCTGTCCAGGTGGCTCGCGAGTCCCGATCTCGCCATCGCCAGTCCCAGGACTTGTCGTCTTCATATTCCATCCATAGGACTGCCAATTGTCTTGGACCGCTGAAGTCTCCTGCCAGGGGCCGTCTGTCGGCTCCCCTTGGTCCTCTTCTGTGTAGATGCGGAAGTGCTGCGGTCCTCCTGAGTGGCGTCGGGTTGTGGATGACGAGGCTGGCTCAGCAGATGAAGTGTCTTGTTCTCATTGTTGTTGCTGAGCTTGCCTGGCCTGGTAGGCTTTCCAGAATTCGACAAAGGGTCGCCTTTTTTCTATCTCCCCGGCTGTTCTTCGTCTAGTGCCATCGGGTCTGAATCTGGAGCGTGGCTGCTTCTGCCTCTGGGGCTGGTCGCCCCCTGTGCGCCCCTCTACTGTGGGTGTCTCGGGCATTTTTGCAGCTGCAGAATGAGCATGAGTCAGGTGCGGCATGGGCAGTCGGCGTCGATGCGGACAGGCAGGCTGACACTTGACTAGAAGCTGGGTGCCGGCTAAATTTCAGGCAGATGCAGCTGGCTGGCATGCTGTCCTTGTTGTGGAGGAGACCTGCTCTGGAGGGGCCATCGAGCTCCCTTGATTGGCATCTGAGGGGGTACATGCTCAAATCAGGGGTTGAACTCGGTAGCTGACTGCAGTGATAATGGCAATAGCTTCGTGGCTTCTGCACATGGTGTGATAGCCTGGAACATCCCTGGCAGTGACGAGTAATTCTGCTGAGTGCCAGACCGGTGCCTTCAGTCCATGGCATGCAAGTCCAGGTGCTGTTTTGTGCAAGGAGCCGGGGCTTGGGAGGGCTCTCTACAGTCAAATTTGGATACCTGAATGGACTGTGCAACCAGTTCTCTTGCGCTGGCTGACATGCGCTTGCGCCTGGATCTACGGACTGATGCTGTGGCATCAGTGGTCTGATACACTTGCTTGTGTAGTTGCTCGTCAGAGGCAGGGGCAGGATGTTCTGCATCCCTTACGCACAATGCTGTGGCAATTGCGTGGTCCCTCCATGGGCTCTGGCATTTGTTGGCACCACGGACCTTGATCGTGACATCTCTGGTGCGCAGGTCCTGGTCCAATGGTTCTGACAGTTGTTGATCCTAAGCAGGGTGCCCAACACCATGCTTAGCACAATTGGCAAGAGTAGGTAGCCGCTTGCTTACTTGTGCTCGCGGGAGGATGTTTCGGGCAGTTCTGTTCCATGGCATCGAACTACATCTTCTACAAAAATGAATTCTGCTAGTGGGACACAGTTAAACCAGAGTACTTACTACCACTACTACTTACTACTACTACTTCTACTACTGCTGCTACTACTGCTACCACTACCACTACCACTACCACTACCACTACTACTACTACTACTACTGCTATTCCTACTTCTACTATTAAACAACTACTATTTCTGTTACTACTACTACTACTACTACTACAAGTGTTTTGGATTTGCTTGCATCAAACTTGGCTCCAGTTCCAGTATCTTCTTTTGCGTGTTTTTTTGCGATTCCAGACGATTCTAGACTGTGCGAGTTGCCGAAGCTCTGGATGATAGATGTCAAGTAGGCCTGCCAGCTGCGCAGATTGCAGACCATGGGCAAAAATCAATGCTAAGCGAAGCAACGAATCGCAGCAAGTTTCGCATGTGCTGAACTTGCAAACGGCATGAATTCCTAAAGAGGCATGTCTGGGCGCTGAGTAAAATCTAGAGACGCAAAAACAGCCACAGCTACCGCCGCTTGGCTCCAGGCACAGACGTTCTGTAGTGTGCAAGACGGAGAATTTGCGCTTTGGGGGGGTTGCCATTGATTGCTGCGCTTGCCGCTTATTGCTTCTTTTTCGGCAAACGCGCTGAGAGCACGCGATCTCTTACAACGAAAAGGCACGACAATACAATCTTGCAAATATGCTGCGCCTCTTTCCAGCAAGTCCCAGTTGTCGTGGCGTCGTCTTGTTCTCCGACCTCAAGCACAGGCCTCGACTCTTACCTATCCGCCTAAAGGTCCGCCTCTAATTCTTACCTCCCAGTCCTTAGCACAGTGCTGGTTGTTGTGGCGTCGTCTTCTTGTTTCTCGGCCTCTATCCCTCCATCCTCACAACGTCGGCGGAAACTTCAGAGAGGCTTTGTCAAAACACTTTCCTACAACTGCATGGATACCCTATTCTCACCGTTGTTCTCACCCGTGCTACCGTCGTCGTGGTCTTCCGCGCCTCCGTCCAGTCGCTCCAGTGTGCGTAGATACCTCTGTGGTTCCATACGAAAGGAGAGGAAGCCACACGAAAACGTTTTTTGGTGGCAAAGCCACACAACAACGTCGACAAGCTGGATTCAACCCAGATTCAAAGGCAGGTTTAACCCAGATCCAGCAAAATTCAAGGACATGCCGAAAGCAGGCAATGGTTTCCTTTTTTTGGGATCTGCAGGCAAGACCACTGGTCTTCAACCTACCTGACGTGCCAAATCCAACTCAAAAAGTGGTGGTAGAATAGATTTCGTTCTAAGACCTTGAGCCCTTGTAGCCGCAGACTCTCACACACGGGTGAAGTAGAGCTTCATTTTTGTTTTTCAACAGCTTACATGAGCTTGTACTGGTGCCTGCGAGACCAAGTAAAGAAGCGTATCGACCGACAAGAAGAATGATCGAAACAAAACCAACAAATTGTCAAGTTGAAACTCACATGTTGAGTGCGCGGATTGCCATCGCTGAGGACCATGTTGATGCCACACAGGCAGCAATTACGCAGATGGGTTGATTTCTTCCGCATGCCGTATGTGTTCGTCGCAGCCGCTACGACGTCTTCAATGGCCAACAGTTTGCACGAATGCTACATCGCAGATATATGTTCTTATATTTGTTGTTATGTCGCTTAAACGGTGCGTTTGTCATCTCCGAATCTAGCCCCGATGCCCGGCCCAGAAGCTTCGTCACTACGGGACAAAGAAGTGAAACGGACAGTCTCGTCCCGAAACAGCGTCTCTTCTTGCAGCTGCGTGAAATGGAGTATACGGTAAACGGGTGCTTCGATGTCAGTTCGGCGACAGTTACGTGAAGCGGTGGTACTGATGAAGTTTGCATAGCGGTCGAGGTCGGTGGGCATCAAGTCTTACGCCTGAAGGCAAAATTTCATGTTGTTATCCGTTTCCTTTTGGAATCGAGAGTGCCATGTTGACACGGAAAGATTTACAGAAGCCGTCTTGCATAAATTAGCATCCTCACACGCTTAAAGTGTTTCGAAACACTTTGTTCATTGGGGTCAAATGCGCTGCTTGCCATACATTTTGATTTCCAAACGACATTGGGATGACATGTCATGTCTCGTGGATTCTCGGCTCTGTTAAAGATAGGGTGTTTAATTCATTGTGTTTTGAGACATTCTCGTCGTTCCATATTTCAGCCCATTCAACCGTGCCAGCCTTATCAAGCAGATGGGTGAGCCGGTGAGCCTGTGCATTTCGTGCTGTCCCCCCAGGCTGTCTTTATGACATGATGGTGCTCGGCAACAAGAGGCGCTGTGTTGTTCATCCATCGAAGACGGCGTCTCCCATTCGACCGTTTGGATAAAGGCTTTGGTTGGGCATTCTGCTGCTCAGCAAGTTGTTGTGGAATGTCGCCATCGCATCGACAGTGCGATCGCACAGCAAAGGTGGCATTTGCCAGATTGCACATGTACCTGTTTCTCGGACCAGTGATTTGACATGTTGGGCCCGTGCAGGTGACACAGATTCGCGGGAAGACACTGCCCTGAGCGACGAGGCCACAGCGGATGTCATGGTCACCATGGCAATTGTTGAGTATTCGGTGTCACGTGTTGTGGTTTTGTCGAAGGTGTTTTTTGTTCTGGGCTCGACTATGACTTCAAGATTCTAGATGTTTCTGGAAAGCCGGAACACAACCTGGCCTGCATCAAACCTGCACCAGGACGGGGCTGCCGCGGTCAGTCTCGGCCTCGAGTGCAGATTCCCGTGTTTCAGAAAGCTGTCTTTCGCAGTGGTGCATCTTCTCTGGCTGCAGGCCGAAGAATAATGCGTGCAGAGAAGACACAGGCAGATTCGTTCACTGCACCCGAGAACAGCATCCGTTCGAATGATCAGACTTTCAACAGCAGTCCGTGGAATGTTCGCTGGAGGAAGAGTCTGTAGAGGTACCAGCAGCAGGTCTTGCTTGAAACTCAGCGAGATCTGGTTGTTAAGCTCCGCTACCTGCTGCCACGTCGAGGAAAAGACTGTGCCTTTCGATGATGTTCTCTTCAACGTCACTGTCACACAGCCGCCATTCGTCTAGCTCTCGGAGTTCATTTTCGTGTTGTGTGCCGTCGTTGAACTCGCACACAAACTGAGGCACAATCCAGCGAATCCAGCCAGCATGCAGGTGAACAGCAAGATTGCAGGCCGCATCTTCTGTTTCGACTTCCGGGAAGCTTCGTATTGCCTCCGAAGGTGGTACGACTGGAGTCCGTGGTCCTACTGCTCCAAGAGTTGTGGTCAGGGATGGAAGAGCCAGACACTGATTCTGCACGCATGAACATGTCCCTGCCTTTTTCCAAATCTTCTTTTCCTGCCTTGAGGTCGCAAAAGAACTGTGGCGCTGCAGCCGCGACACGGGGGCCTCGAGTGCTGCCTTGCTCGATTCCTCGTTTCTCCTGCACAGCAGGGTTCATACATTTGCCAGTGGAGCTGGGTTGCCAACACGGAGAGCAGACAAGACGTTGCCAGGTGCGATGGAGCCTCCGAGGACCTTCGCTGTAATTTCCCCATGCCGACTCCCCTGCAAGCCAATGACTTTGCCACTTTGCATATTGTACTGTTGTTCTGCGGCTGGGCTCAAAACTGTTGTGAGGCTTTGTAAGGCGTTGTCCTGCCGGCTGAAAGGCGTTGTCCTTCTAGATTCTAGTTGACTTTGATCCGCGAGATCGCTTGAAGCTGCAATTCGATCCTGACTCCCGCAATCGACGTACGGTATGGTGAGCACTGTGCTCAAGATTACAAGTGCGAGGCTCTGTCTGCAGGCAGTTGAAGGATGACAAGATTTCTTGCTTAAACACGGTTCCGGATGTTAGGTGGAAGCCAAATCTTTCGTGTGCTGTTCGAGAAGAACCCGGACGAGCTGGACTATGCCAGCTTCCCGGCTTGGCGTTTCTCGGAGCAGGTTCGTCAGACCTGAGACATGCAGGAGGCCGTGAAAGCAGCAGCAGCTGACCTTTGCGGCCTTGACTCGCTGTCTAGGCCAGGCTTGTGGCCCTTCGCGTAGGCCGACGATGCATGCCGCATGCAATCATCTATTCTGCTTGGGTGCAGGTATCTTGACCAAGACGGAGCTTCTGTCGTCTTGTCGGACTGCATGAGATGCTGATGTCATCGATGATTAGAGACCTCACCTGGATCTTCACCAGGAGGAGACTTTCCGGAACTTCCAGACAACAGCCACAAGGCAAATTGACTGGTGGAAGTGGCCGTGCGTTGAAACCAGACTGAGAAGATAGTTGTTGTCCCGAGGTCCACCCACAGTGCTTCTGTGATGCTTCTCCGATTGAATGCGCTCGTCTGAGTGCACGTGCTCCTCATGTTATCGCACAGCAGCTCTTGCAGAGCCAACGAGGTGATAGAAACCGAGACACCAAAGACTTCCGCATGGCAGGAGGCCAACTGATACTTAACAATTTGTGAGATGGCTCCTTGGCTGAATTAGCAGCAGCATCCTACCATGCTCCGTCTTCGGGAGGATCTTCGTGACCTCGATGAGCTGTGCAAATCTCAGCATTGGACACCACTTGCCTTAGATGCGACGTCTTGCAACATTTTTAGTGAGGCATGGTTTTCCATGTAGTTTGCATGTGCGTGAGATTGGCACAGTTCGACGAGCCTGACAAGCACAACAGGCCAGAAGAGTAAGCAGTCACAGCTCATGCCGGCAAGCTGCACGCCAGGAAGAAGCGCAAGAAGCGAATGGCCAAGACGAAGTCCCAGACCAGAAATTCCAACATGGAGGCCTGCAGAGCTTGAGTTTTCGTTGCCATTAGCGCTGCCAGCCACCATGAAGTTGTCTCGTACGAGCTGCTACCATTTGCACCATCTGGAGGCCTCGGGGGCGCAAAGGCCTGTACCTCCACAATCTCCGGAGGTGGAGATTTCGTACAGCTCCACAACGGCCATTGAGGACTTGAGTGAGATGGAGATGCAAACAAATCAGCCACCTCAAGTGGACATTGGCATGTCGGACCTGGATGATGACGACCCGGACTGTGAACTCCCTGTGGAGACTCGCGACGAGGCGGGTTGCTGCTCAGCAGCTGTAGAAGTTAGGATGCTCTGGAGTTGGGCCTGTGACAGGCTTCGGACGATGACGTCCTTGTCCGAGCGGCTTCGTGCCCTTGCTTACCAACATTTGGTGAGGACCTTGTCGCCGAGGTTCGGGTCGGGGTGAAGCCGAGAAAATTTGGTGAGTGGCAAGCGTGGCAGGTTGACCGCCAAGATGAGGTGCCAGCAATGTCTTAAGCCACCGGAGTCTCGAGACTTCATCAGCGCTCTTCGAACAAGAATGAAAGGCCAGCCAGCTCTGGCCTGCAACACCCGAGTCCACTCCGCCACAATCTCCTCGCGCTGTTGTGTGGGTGCCTGCCGTTCCGGCCCGAATCTCAAATGCATGGCCTTCATTTTCCCTCAACGTCTGGAGAAGCTAAGGTATTCATGTGGCAGGCTGTTCCGATTGCAGCCCACTGAGCGTGGCATAGTCGCGTTGAACCGCACTCCTTCCCGGCGCTTCAGGTTGTACAGGCTGAGTTACGGGACGAAACGAGCGAGACTGTTTCAACAGAAAACGGTCCATGACTTGTTTCTCACTCCCTCTCTCTCTCTCTCTCTCTCTCTCTCCCCTTATCTTTGTATGCGTGTGCCTTATGTACTGCGTCTCTTCCAGGGGAGAAGAACACTGGAGATTCAAGTCCTCGGAAGCGTTGCCATGCTGATGAAACAGGACTTCGACCACTGCAATGAAGTGGATTGTCCGGTGGACTGCGGCTGGGGTGTTTGGAGTGATTGGAGCCACTGCTTCAACCTCAGAGCCGACAACCCCGGAACCCATTGATGCTTTTGGAACACACCTGCAGGCACGGCATCGTGTGACGGTGGTACGCGGCAGAGAGGTAAGCCCATCAAGGTGCAGAACAACAGTCTCGGAAAGCCGAGCACCCAGTCACCACATCACTGCTGAACCATGATTTGTTGTAGTCTTGGCAGAGGCCATGCAACATGGCAGAAGGCATTCAGGTGGAGGACGCATCATTGTAAAGTAGAAGCGATTTGTTGCGCTGTGTGGGTATGGCTCGGCCTTCGCTGTCCAAGCCTGCTTCCTGTCCTTATGGAATTCTATACAGTCTCATGTCTCTTTTCGGGTCCCGGTCGGACGTGGATCCGAGGTGGGTGTGATGGCTGTTGTCTCGAGGCTCCCCGGCCTCCCTTCCTCTCTTCGCTCGCCTGGGTCCAGTCGTGGCTCCTAGCATGGCTCCGGACTCCGGCTGCTGTGTATGAGCTTCAACATTTGACCTCAACTTCCCTGCATCAGTGATCGCCCTTCGTGGCGAAACTGCTGTGCTCACGCAGTCGGTCTGTGTTCTCGCAGCGATGTCGTGTGAACTCGAAGCGGTAGATGCCTCTTTTATGATTTTGGCAGCCAGCTGTCACTGCTATTATGATTGACGGTTCTCTACTCGTATAGGAATATCCTCACTCTTATGTCCCGTTCCAAGCAACTTTCTCCCGACATAAGCCCTTTGCATCCCTCTGCTTTATGTTGGTCTTCTCCTTGCCACGGAAGCGGCAGGACTGTGGCACCAGCCCATGTCCGCGGGACTGCACATGGGCGGCCTTAGCCTCGACGAATCTCAGAGAATTTGACCCACCGCCACTTGCTCCGTGTGCCGAGGACTGGACCAAATGGGGTGAGTGCTCAACCACCTGTGCTGGCGGAGTGAAGTTGCACTGCTGGCACAGCTTGGATCGAATTGCCCCAACACAACTGACCAAGATTTTGGATTGTGCCAGGCGGAGCCGGTCCATAGCAGAAGCTGCTATTGCCGATGGTGCACTGCATGAAAGCTTTCTTTGCGTCTCTTCATTCCTTCTCACAACCAGCTCTCGACCCAGGCAAAAAATGCGAAGGAGCCACTCAGGACGAAGAGGTTTGCAACGTCAAGGCCCGACAGCATGCGAGTTTTCAAGCTTTCAGTTGCAAGATATGCCAATAAGCGTGAAGTGCAGCGATGCCAGGCATGCCCAACGGTCCTGAGCCAAGACGTGATTCCAGATTGCTTGATGCAATGACATTTTTTTGCAATCCCAGGATTGCGTGCTTGCGGACTGGAGCAACTGGAAAGCCTGCGCGGCTTCCCAGCCCTTGCAAGTAGAGGGACAACAATTATTTAGCATGCAGTATTCCGAGGTTCGGTGACTTGTGGCAACGGCACAAGTCTGCGAGAACGCAAAGTCTTGGTGAAAGAGGCAGTCAGCGTCAGCACGCGTGAGCTTGTGAAATCAAGGGATGCTGCCTGCTATCACTCTCAGGAAGGCGGTGGCCGACCGTGCAGTGAACCGTTGGAGGAGGAGCTGGTCACGATCTGCTCTAGGGTGTGAGATTGATGCAGCACCAAACCTAGATACGGTTGTGCTGGCAGGAGGTGCCTTGCACAGAAAAAGTTTGCCCGGTGGACTGCAGTTGGGGCGATTGGAGCCATTGGTCTCACTGCAGTTCCGCCCTCGGGCATGCTTGTCAAGTTTGATGACTTCACCCCATGCCTAGATGGAGAGAGAGATAGGAAGACAAAGACTTGAAGCAAGGAAGGAAGGGATTCAAGTAAGGAACGAAGTAAGGAGAGAAGGCAGACAGAGATTTGAGTTTCGCTTCACACCTGCTTGTTGCTCGACACTGGGCGACGTGCTGGTGACAGTGAGAACGCCCAAAGAGTACCATTTGCTTGATTGCATCGGGGGGCATGTCATGGACTTAGTTTTCATCTTTTCTGAGAGCATGACGGGTGTGGGGGAGTGTACATTCTGTTGCCCTTGTCGACACAGGGTAGCTGCAAAGACCGTTCAGTGGAAGGTCATGAGTGTGCGGGTCAGTATAGGTGGGCACGCAGTCTCGCCTTTTTGCTCGTTCAAGGCTTCAGGTCGGCTCATTGACGGAACGGTGTCTCACCAACTATCCTCAGATCAGAGGAGAATGGGAGAGGCATAGAGGCATTGGCACTATCAGATTCAAAGTAATAGCGCATGCAGAGCAGAGTACAAATCTGCCGGAACAGCCGACGGAGGCGACTTCGGGGTTGTTTCCGTTAATGCTCAGCCGTTCCGAGTTGCGAGAATTCGAGAATTCAAGATTCCACCTTGCTCCACCACGCTCTTCTGCGAATGCACGACTCGTGCAAAAGCGGCCGTTGAGTGCAGTCACTCATCCTTCGACTTGAACGTAGAAGTGAAATGGGCATAGGTGTCCACATGCATGTTGGTCTGCTAATTAGCGGCATTTTCGTTGAAATTGAACTGAGGTCAGACTTGTGGGAGCAACGTCTCTTTGTGGGTCTGATCCCTAGTGTCACGGCATCATCGCAGTGTTTTGAAGGAAGTGCCGGTAGATCTGTGACTTCGCCATATCTGACCCACGAGGCTACGAGCACAAGGAAGAGGCTTGTGAAGGAATCTGCCGGCGGAAGACCTTGTGACGGAGAGGACTGGAGAGGGGCAGGGGCTTGCATGTCTATCATGCTCTTGTAGAGGCCGGAGCACCTGAAATCCATACAATTTTCAACTCTGGTCTGTCTTGGTGCTCTTCTGTGGAGCCGTCGGAGAACGTACAAGCTAGCTCAGGGTGCGTACTGAGCGTCTGTATCAAAGATTCAACGTCGTGCACAAAGCAGCTTTTCATAATGCACCTAGAATCTAAAGTCGGCTGACTTCGGCAAGTGGCAGGACGAGCAGAAGAAGTTGTGTTCTGCTTGCATTCGCAGAACCGCTTCGTGGTCTAGCTACTGTCGTGCTGTCTAAGGTGTGGTCAAAAACCCTGTCCGATCGACTGTGTGTGGGCCGATTGGAACGAATGGAAGGCAATGGCTGGTCTGCAAAAGGATACCAGCCAAGCGGTTATTGAAACACCACCTATGTCACCTTGCAGGCTTGCACGAAATCTTGCGGCGCTGGCATCACCGATCGTTTGCGCAACATCTCGACCCCCGCTGCCCACGGCGGGAAAGAGTGTTTTGGCCAGAGTCCCTGGTTTGCAAGCCGTCTCAGACAGATGCAGACCGCGAAATTTGGCCGAGGCTCCACAAGAGATGTGAAGACCTGCAATGAGGAGATGTGTCCCCAAGACTGCAGCGGGACACTCGGGCCAGTACATGACTCGTCGGAGGAAACCAAAGATCGATGTGCATACTCTGTACTATTGCTATACCGTCATCCGAGGTGTTCAGTACCGTTGATACTCATACTTTGGGGTTGCAGGCTACGCTTCGATTTCGCAAAGGCGTGAACAGGTGAACAGTAAGAGGCTTCTTGAGCTTTCTCCGGCTTTCGCAGACTGAACGAGATGTCTGTGCAGCTTCCTGTCAATAGTTTTTGCGGCTCTGCTGTGGACAATAAGTCAGGATTTACCCAACGCTGGACTGAACTCTTCAGGATCTTATCGTTCTTTGGTCCTCTGCGGTCGCTCTGCATTTTGTGCCAGATTCCACATCGGAGAAAGCCGAGAGGTTGCTCATACGACACTGCCCATCCGTCGACAACCCATGATGTGCAGTTAGGGAGCTTTCGGAGCTTCTCATTCTTGCCGGAGCAAGTTTCGTCCTGGAAGAGTTACAATTGAAAGGCATTCACAGACCATGACCATGCACCAGGTTATGCTGATTGGGAACAGTGGCCTGGGGCTTGTGTCACTGCGCCAGCTAAGAGGATCTGGCAGGTGCACCTGTGCCCTTTGGCATTGTGAGCATGCCTGCCCGGCAAGGTCCGAATGCAGCCGGCCATGTGGTGAGGGGACTGTGCCACTGGCAGATTGGCACCGAGCTGATGGAAGCCTCTGTTCTATGCTGAGTCTTTGTGCCAGGCCATCCGCTATCGCATCATTGATACGCCAGCTGCACGGGGCGGTCAAGTCTGCCTCGGTCCGAAACATGAGGCAGTGTTCCATCGCTGTTACGCAATTGGCTTGTTTGCCCACGTGCCTGTAACAGACGGGGGGCTGCAACGGCACTGACTGCGTCTGCCTCTCAGCCAACGGCACTGGTCATCCTTCCAGCCAACGTAGCTTCGTGGTGGTGGACAGGTGACAACGGCGGAGTTGATCCGGAAAGGCTATGCATCGCAAATCACTGGTGTCTTGGGCTTAGCTACACATGGCGGCCGGGCGCGAGTTTTGTAGGGAGAGCAGCGGAGGCCATGCACATCATCACCGAAGATCCTGTGAGCTATGCGGCGAATCCCTTGGTGGAGCAGGTGCAATCTGCAGCAGGAGTTGCCGGCTCTGGCATCGCAAGGCGACTCTTAGGAGTCGAAAACCCGGGAGGTGAGTCGCGAGGCATTGGCGGAGTTCGCGGAGTTGCCTGTGCGACGCGCAGCCCACAGGAGGAACCTGTCCAGTCCTTCCCCCGTTCATTGCTCATTGCTGCGAAGGTGTGCACGTGTCGATGATGCCGGATACCATGAAGCCCCGGGATGTGGTCAACTGGTGCCTGGCCCAGACGCACAGTTTCGGTGATGCAGGCACGAGGCTTTTGGAAGAGAAGCCCTGCACCATTGCAGCCCGCATATATCAGAAGACAGGATCTTTCAATCCAAACGCGCAGACCTCCAAGAGCACGAGTCCAGCCGCTAGGGCCGCTAGGGCCGCTAGAGCTTCAGGTTCAGGGAGCAAGGCCTTCGCGAGGTATGTTGGTCTTTACTTTTCTTCTGTGCGTCAACAAGTTTTCGGCGAGCTCGCCCTTTGTCCGCTTCGCGTCACCTCGACCTTGCTGTACTTGAAGCAGGTGCGTTGTTTCGGAAGGCTACGGGTAGGTCACACAGGTGAGGTCTTGAGTGAATGAGTGTATTTGCTTCATAGTGTTTTTAATGTCAGTATTTGCTTTCATGCTGAGGCTCTGAGCAATAATCCTACGCGAGGGGCGGCGCATTCACCGCATTATCCCATAGACGTTACCATGACTCGATGATAATCGCATCACATTTTCTCAGTGGTACCGTATACAACCTCCCATATGTTGACAGGGGAGTCAAGCTTTGCAACGAAGTACAAGACACAGCCCCAGAATTTGCCAGACTTTGGCATCAGCTCGGCTTCACGAATGTTGTGAGCTAGCCCGTCTTGCCTCACCAAGGAAGAGATGATGTGTGTGTGTGTGTAGGGTGGAACACTTTTCGCACAGAAAAAACACCGGCACCCCAGAATCTCTGGACGTAGGGGTTCCAGCCCGAAATCCATGTTGAAGGGTGGGGGGTGGGGGGGGTTCAGTGGCCTAAGCCACTGGGGAGGGGATTAAGAAGTGGGGAAACATGGATTCTGTTCCTTTTGGAACCTCTGACCGCTTCGGCGAGGGCCGACGAGTTTTGTAGCAAGCTTGTGGAGCTTGTCGAACACAATGCCAGCAATCAGTCCGTTAATGTACGCCACATGTTTCAGAGGGAGCTTGCGGTGCAACTCGGTTTTGAGCTGATTGACAGGGGGCAGGCATTTTCAGAGCGTGTGTGAACAACCCCCCAGACGGATGTTTGGGGAGAGTTGCAAAGAAGTGTTTGAGGCTGCATGCCTCCGGGAGGGGATTTCAAAGACCAAATACTGGGCATGTCATCCTGTGTTTAGAATCATGTTTCACTGCACCAACGTGCCAAACATGATAGTGCATTTTCGATCCGATCTTGGTGTACCGGTATCATGAGATATCCATCAGGTTCAGCATGCTCGTTCCGAACTCAACAAACCTGACGGCTGTGCTGGACTATATTTCCAAGAAGGACCGATGCACTTACCGAGACTGGTGTCTTGTTCGAAGCTGGCCATTGCCGCAGGATCTGACACATGCTGGGCGAATCCTGCGCAACAAGCTTCGGCGAGTAGGCGGTGAAGACAAAACATAGCAATGCAATGGCGTGGATGTCCTGCTGCGGCCAGATTCGGGCAGTGGTGCAGGTGTGCTCATTCTCGTCAATATCTCCAAATTGTATGTGAACGCACATGGCCACAAGGAAACGCCGAGAACTCAGTGCTTATTTCCATTGTATACGATGGTCGGAATGCAGGGATCCTGATGGGTTGAACGGACATGCGACCCGAGGGACTCAACCGTGTTGGTGAATACTACTACAGGCCCCAGCTTGGCCGGCATTTGAACCAGCTGTGCATCTCTCTACGTGCTGTGCGGATCTGTGCAGGTGCACCTCTGCCGGCATGGAACAATCCGAATGCCACGCGATTGACTGGGGTGTCCTGCTGAGACATATCTTTCACGCTTCGGCGGCGTGCATTCGCAGACATGTCTGAACAACCTGTTGCGATTCGTTGGATCGGGCGTACAAGACACCACAGAGTTGTATGTGCAGTGACGACGCCGGCGTTTTCTGCTCAACAATCCTTGCAGACCCGTCTCTTTGAGTTGCTCCGGTGGGACAGGTGGTGAAGATGATTGTGCCAGAACCCCTGAAGTTCGCAGAAGACCTGAAAACCAAAGAGGCTCACCGCGTGTGGCTACTTCGGTCCGGACTCTACATGTCTTGATCTCATGTTTGCACTCTCGTGTGGAGGCAACTGAACAGTTGCTCGCAGAGCTGTCTGGGATTGCCAAGCCAGGCCAGGTAACAATTGCACGCGACGTGTTTTCTTGCAAGACGCCGGCTGCCTCCGTAAATCTGTTTGCTTGCATGGGGTATCGATAGCAACGCTGGAATCACTGAACAAGACGTGCTCATGTTACGTACTGTTTATCAACTTCCGCTGCGCTCACATGTGTGTTGAATGGGCTGCAAGGGTCTAGCCTGGCGGTGTCTGAACTCTGGACGAATCCGACAGGTGTACGTGCATCACTCATTCCAGACCAGGTGCGATTACTTGCAGCTCTGAAACACTTAGCGATTCGTGATTCCCAAACCAAGCAGGTTTACCGTTACGAGGCTGAGTTTGATGAGGACGCAGATGCAGCCGAAAGCCAGGTGCAGTGCACCTGTTAGACCTCAGCCCGGCCTCTTTGCACCGTGAAGCTGGGTCCCAGGCTGCGAAGCGAAAGATTCCCAGCGACTCGATTCAAAACAAGAGTGGCGAGGTGGGACTGCCTAAGCTGTGCCAGCAACTCCCAGCTTGCACCTCTTGGCAGGTCCATTCCTGGCAGTGGGCTCAGGATAAATGCCAGCAGCAAGTTGATGAGTCTTGAATCCCGTTGCCATGCTGTTGAACTAGCATTTCGAAGGTTCAGCCTGGTAGGGGCAGTGCAGCCCAACCGGGAGACGGCGACAGCGGAAGCCAGAAAGATTGCGCAAGCCATGATGGCAGAGGACCGTGCAGTTGCTGGTCCAGCATGATGCGAGCTTTGATTCACGCGGAAGCAGGGAAAGGTTTCGATTCACGGCGGCACCTAGAGAAGCACAGTGGCAGTAGATGGCATACGAAGAGATCTCATACGAAGAATTGGCAAGACCCGTGTCACTGATTGAAGATTGGGCTTGGGTATAGGCAGTGAGGGTGCGAGTTAATCGGAAGCCTGGGGGCTTGAACTCCTCGTGAAGAGCTTGGCCCTGCTCCAGAGCCAGCTGGAACAAGCAAGCGGCAGCAAGCGAGAGAGAGAGAGAGTGCATTACACGTCAGTGGGTACGGCGCAGTTGAACCTTCCTTTCACACCGAGCTGGGGGGAGCACACTGTTGCGATCCTCAGAAGACCAAGTCGGGTAGCTACCAGGTAGCTACAAGGCCTTGAGGCTCGTGTAAAGGAAAAGAACAGAGCTCGAAAGAACAAGAAGCCATAAGAGGCCATTCCGGGATTTGTTTAAACGATGTTGTTCTAGCTTGCAGGCATGCTTTTGGCACTGGGCGCCCAGCGATGTGTGTCCCTGGCATAAAGTTTCCTTGGCCGCGGCCGCAGGACCTCAAGGCAGTCACCGTCAGGAACAACCTGCTTCTCGAAGCGGCCGGTCGCCTCGATGCCCAGACAAAGGCCCCGGGCCCTGGACTCTGAGTTCGGTCCCCAACAGCCTTCCGTGCCTCGTGCCCCAACGCAAGGTCATCCAGATTCTTGCGAAAGCTGACGGAGACCAGGAGGAGGCACTGGGACGTACTGTTATTTGATCGGACCGAAGCCTTATGATGCTTTGGAGGTCGAAGAAAATGTCCTTGATCAAGCTCCTGGGCAAGTACGCGTGACCGGGGTCATGCGCTCAAACGGAATGGAGGATGGCCCGCAATGCCGACACTTAGCTGCCTGAGGTCGTTGAGATGGTAACGGACTACCCGAAATCCTTCTCTGCAGACCGCCGCTCTGAAGAGGCGCACGGTGCACGACCACGGTGCAGGCCTTGCACAGTGTGCGATCCTCGTGGTGCCAGGGCCTGCTCCAAGCCATCGCACAGCTCAGTGGCGTGCCACTAAGTTCTGAGCACTTGACAGGAGAAGCAGCAACATCTGCAGGAGCAGGAGGGGGCGGAGGAGGCGCTGGTGGAGGAGGTAGAGTTGGAGGAGTAGGTGCAGAAGTGGAGGCAGTAGCAACAACAAATGAGAACAGGTGGTAGAGGGTATTCGGTGTTCATTGAGCCGAAGCCTCGCACAAACGTGTTCACAACAGCCAATACATTCAGTATATCAAGAACGATGTGGGAATGGATCCTCATATCCGTTCCTGGCCTCACTGGGAGACTTTTTTGTGGTAAGTTGTTCTTCGAAGAACGACTTTACTCACGCCGTGAAGATTTGTGTGTTGATCGCTGCGGTTGTGATCCCCGTCCAATTGTCCAAGAAGAATTGGCTTCTTGTTCTTGTAAATTTCGAAGTCTGACTCCCACACACACACCTGCTGTTCAAGTGTGCTGCCTAGGCATGCCCAGCAGCAGAAAACCCTGCTCGCTTGCAGATCTTCTGCCGGCTTTTGGAGATGTCAAGTGCTGTTAAGTGCTGGGATGCAATTCGGATTGCATTTCTTTGTGCCAGGCGTTCGTGTGTCCTTGGTGCCAAGTGAGGCTCAGCTTGGCATGAGTGACATAAAGCGGCTGGACCTTGTGGAATGCGGCATTCAGTTTTGCTGCCCCTCGAATGCTGTTCTTGTGCACAGACTGCACACCGGAGAGAGCAGTCTTCATCCCTACCGTCATCTTAACATGAATTGAAGCTGCTGCCCAGACACGCGTCGAATCCTTACTGCAGCAGCCAACAGAGGGCGAAGAGGCAAGCGTGATGAACACTGACTAGCTTCTTATGCTGAAACTCAGCTGTTGAAGCTGCCTTTGAAGGTGCCTCCGGAAACACCGTTGGATGACAAGGATGCCTTCAGCAACGAAGTCTCTGCCTGGCCGCAGTCTTTGTGACACAACTCTTTCTTGGCTTCCTTTGCTCTCTCTCTCTCTCTCTCTCTCTCTCTGACCTCTGTCTCGGCTCATGTCTAGAGTTTCAGCAGCAAACGAGGTTTGTCATCACTGTCCCGACGAAAGACGAACGAACACCCGATGAAATCGCTGAGAAACTCCGTGACCAGGCCGTAGCGTTCATGTGACGGGGTATGACTCGCAATCGCAGAGCACGCGACCCAGCCAGGACTTGACAATCGCTGGCCTCAAAATTCAGAACTGCATCATGGATGAGGGCCTGGACTTGCACCGGGCTCATGAGCTGGAAGACCCCAACTCCTGCAATGCCCGACTGCACAGGAGTGTCAAGGTCGGCCGTATCACTGCCATGGTCCAGACGACGACCACAACTACCCTGGAGCCTCAGCTGAGCTTGCCAAAGGGCATAAACTCGGCCTCGACTGCTCTCGTCTCGCTGAGGGCACTGGGGTGATCAAGAAGGTAGTCTGCAGCTCGGGGTGATGTTTGCTCTGAGGACGGTAGCTCATGAATCTGTGATCCTTTGCTTGCTGCTCAAGGATTTTCATGGAGACGCTGGCCCAGAAGGTGCTGCAGTGTACTGGCAGGGCTTCCTCCGTGTGACGAGCAGAAAGGATAGTTGACCAACCACATGCATGGCCATGCACTACTGATTGTGACAGGTGCTACAGGCAACAAGACCTCTGCTGCGGCTGCCGCTGCAGCTGCCAACACTGTAAAGGCCTTGGCTTCAACGGGCTTGGAGCCATCAGACGTTGCAGCAATTCGATGGGTTTTGTGAACTCCAAGACTATGCTGTTGATGTTGCTGCTTTCAGGTGCCTGGCTCTTCCTCAGTGGTCGGGGCAGATGCCTCCACTCCGGCGAAAGTGATTGCGGTGGTTGCTGCCGTCTCCCCCAACGATGTGGAGCCGCCTACCATGTCCAATCCAGGCCAGGAAAAGTCTCTGGTAACAGCTGCAATTTACTTGCAGATAGCCATGGCTTTTATACCTGCCGGGAATCTGGAAAGAACTTGCAGACATCGTTTGCCGGCATAACTTTCAAGGCATCTGATTCCAAATGTCCTAGGAGTTGCACAGGCTACACGACACATCCACCCAGAGAGTTGGAGATAGTTACTGGATGTGGCGTTTAAGCCCGCTAGACCTCCTACCCTGACAGCCACCACCTGCCCTTTCAAAAAGTTACAGACCCACGGGTTAGCCGTGGACCTGTCTGAACCAGTCGGACTGTCAACTTGCTAGACCCTCCTAACAGCTTCTCACAGCCAACTCCTGCTCTGTTTCTTGACATACCCGACGGGAAGACTTGAGCAATGCACGCGGATTCTCTGTGCGATCTCTGCTGTGTGGAGAATTTTTGCATCACTGGTTTGGAGTCTGGGCTGTCAGCTGCATCGCTGGAGGTTGTCCTCACCAACGAAAGGAAACTTTCTTTGAGCTCGCGTGCTCACAGGGATTCGTGCTTAATGCGTTGAAGGCTCGTGCAAGTCGAACTTGGCAATGCCGAACTTGTACACTACCTTTACCCTAAAAAGCGTCATCCTGACCTCTGTAAACGGCCGAATGCTGCACCACCAGTCAATGGTCCGTATTTCATGGAACAGCATCGTTTCTAGACATCTCACACTGGCAAAAGGGGTGAGTCGATGTTCATGCCCCACGTTGCGAGGCGGTGGCGATGAAGAGTCTGATGATGAGGAGCATGGAGCATGGAGCAGCATCGTCGACTCACAGATTCTGCGGTAGTCGGATCACCATTGCTCCGAGGAGCAGGGCAGCAAGGTCACGAAGAGTTCGTCGTTGCTCGAGACTGGCGCCAAATCGCAGGCAACGGGCCTTGTCGTGCACCCAGAATAGGACTTGCAGCATCTTGCAGCATCTTGCAGTATGCAGCTTGCTTTCTTCAACTCCAACGAGCTGTAACAAGCTGCTGATGCTTCCAGGTCTATGGCATGTGGCTGCCGATCTTCCTGTACTTCGCTTGAAGACCCTTGCACCTGTGCAGTGCTCGATAAAGCAACCGTCCAGAGAATGGCGTTCTAAAGACTCTTGCAGACTGTACTCGCGATCTGAGCAAAACTCTCCGCCGCCAGATTTGTGCAGGGGGCCCCCAAGTGAAGATGGTAGAGTAGAGCGGATGAGCCGCTGCCTTGGGGGAGCATCGCCCAGACCTCAGTTGGCATGGCTGCTGTTTTTTATTCTGCACGACTTAGACTACTTGCTCTGCTTCGGTCTTTCCCACAGGCACCGGAATAGCAGTTCCAGCGCAGCATGCCGAAGCCTCAATGACAAATGAGATGCTCCACGAATCTTTTGTTGTAAGCTTTATGCCTTTATGCAGGTCATGCGATGGCTTCGACGGAACCCACCTCCTGGCCTTTTTCGTTGGCGGAGTCCTGGTCTCATGGAAGGGTACCCGCGGCGTTTTGATGGTTGCCGTTTTGCGAGGTTCTTGCACTGCTGACGGCTGGTTTGGTGCAGCAGCATGTGGCGTGATCGCCTCGAAGACGGGCCATGTGTCAAGTGCCTTCCACATGCTAGCATGACGATAGCTGGGCCGTGAGCGGCTTGCGGAAACATCTGCATCGAAGCAGTGGTGTCGCGCTTCGGCTAGACTCCGTCCGCTGTGCTCAGGCAGAGGCTTCAGAAGCGAAATGCCGTGCAACCATGCAAGACTGCAGCGACGGGAGGTGCTGCTGCAGGCAACAAGAACGGATCCGAACACGTTCGAGTTCGAGAGCGATGACTCCTTGTCTGACTAGGTGGCACAGATGCTGCCAAGGACATTGAAAAGGGCACACCAGATCCTGCAGCGGCCCGGGTGTGCGAACAGCAAGCTGACGCTGGACACTGGGCTCTGGCAACCAAGGTAGCCGGCAATGCGCTGGGCCAAGACGTTGCCCACCTTTGCGACAAGATTCGGATCTAGCCTGAGCTCCGCATGTCCTGCATCTGTGGCGTTGAGCTCGAGAGTCTCTCGACCAAAACCATACCATCAACCGTGGCCTGAAGTTCGCAAATGAGTAAGTCCACGATGAAGGACGGTCCTTGAGTCAGAGGTGCAGCAGGGCGCGACAATGAAGGAGCGGTTCTTGCAACGGAGCTGTTCTTGCAACGAGTATGTGCGCATATCAAAATAGTAAATGTGTGCAGTTCACATGCAGACATGGAGAGCAGAGTGGTCAAACTTCGGTCAAACCTGTCAACTACACACTTTTACTATGAGGCGACGAAGACACCTAGCAGAAGAGAGCATCACGAGCGCAGACGGGCACAGACGGGTACAGACGTGCAGCAGACCCGAAATCCCAGCGACGCGAGCAGATTCTGGATGGTTGTGTCGGTTGTGTCACTGGTCTCTTGCAGTTCTTTGTGGTGGTGAGGTCGGATTCGTGGGCTTGGTTGGATGGTCTGTTCAGCAGTCTCTGCTGAGGTATCTGTGATCCGTGCAGTCTTGGATTAGTTCCTGATGAAAATCGCCAGGTTGGCAAATAAGACTTCGAATCCTCTCAGGTGTCTGATCTTGTAACCGATTGCTCAGTTTCCATTCCATGCTGCTGTCGTCGTCACTGCCGGTGCTTGGCGATGAGTGCTTTGGAGGAAGTGGAAGATCGCGTGGATGGCATACTCAAGCTGTCCAAAAATGCGGCTTGGCTTCAAGCATCTTCAAGCAGTGCGTCTGCAAGAGGGCCGCCGAATCTTGCTGTAATCGTCCTTGGGTCGTTTCGTTAGTTTCGTTGGTCTTCTTAGACTGTGGACACCGCAATGTTGAGTCGGGAGGAGCCCGCGGTTTCGACATTGCGCGAGTCGGCAGCGCCTGCCTCCTCAGAGGCCGCGGTTATCCGATATATCCATGCAAGGCATACCAGTGGACTTCTCGAGTGGCCACGTCGGCGTCTTGCTGCCCAGGATCATGAAACTGGACATCCGAAGATGCCGTCGAAAGGATCCGTGGACACGTGCGGCACATGCGGTCTGGAGAAGTGCAGAGCACAGAGGGGTCAGAGGGGTCCTGTGCTCAGGCGGACACCGAGCTCCTCGAACCGCAGCGGCAGCACGGACCGCGACGCCGAGCAGAGCAGAGCGGAGGCGAAGAGCGCGCGAAGAGCGGAGCCGTGCCACGGTGGCCCTGCTCTGCTTTGCTCGAGGAGCTGCCCGGAGCCGTGGCGTTGCCGCCCGACCGCCCGATGGGGAAGGCAAGCGGAGCGCAAGCGGAGCCGCTGTCAGTGGGCTGTGCCGCTCTTCTCTGTGTCCTTCGCTTCTTCGTCTCTTGGGAGGCGCCCTTGCCGCCGCCTTTGCCTCCTGCAAATCTCGAGCCGATTGGGGACGAGGCCGGCCATCCCAGGCTTCAGAACTACATGAGCATGAAGTGGCATAAGGTGGGTCCGCCAAAGATGCCAGAGCCCAAGGGCCAAGACGGCATAGACACCACGAGCAGGCCAGCATAGGCAAGCCTTCAATTGCCTTCAGTATTCTCGTGCTCGCCGAGGTTTGGACCGACCGACAGGCTTGGGTTGGGCTTTGCGTAGGATTAAAAGTTGCATCTATGGTTGGGCTTTCAGGCAATGCGCTGTACTCGATCCTCCAGAGAAATGTCTCGGATTCGTAGACGAGGACGGTGTGTGAGAACCAGGGAGAGCGGGCTGTCGACGCAAGAGCTGTGTGCTGATCTCAGGACGAGTCACAGCGCAATTCCGTTGTGACCTTGCAGAGGATCCTCTCAAAACGAGATGTCAGCTTCTTGGGCATTGTTGAGTCGCCTTGGCCGAAGCTTGGCAAAGCAGAGGCACAGACCACGGAGCTACATCGACAGTTGCGGGACACGCGGCAGCAGTCTGATCCCAAGTGTGGTGCAAACGATGACGCAGCGGAGACGGTCCAAAGACTGCATTGCGAAGGCTCTGGCAACAGACAGCGGAAGCGCGTGCCGTGTGAAACTCAGTGCGATGCTGGCGTCAGGGTCATGGCTTCGTCTTAGAAGCTGTGTGGCTGCATTCGTGGCCGCATGGACCTCGCACCTAGGCGACGGCGAGGCCGAGCAACGAGCAGCGACGAGCATCGGTGAGACCTTGGTGTTTTGACGGTGCAGGCTGAATGCGTGCTTGAGCGACGCAAGTCGCACACCCCACGAGCAGGCTTGACGGGTTCGACCATGATAGTCATTCAGTGACAGCAGCGTGGCAACGATGAGCACCTCGACAATAATTTGAAAAAGCTCACGATCCCACTGGTGCTTGTGGTGGGGTGCAACTGGCACATGAGAGCAGCGCGCCAGCGCTGCTCGAAGCCTCACAGGGCTTTTCGCCGAGTTCGGAGCGGATACTCGAATGCAAGTCCAAACGTGCCGTGCCCGGGGTGCCTCGAAGCCATGTGTGCTGATTATCAAGTGTGATGAACCGTAAGAAGTGTACTTGGTGGAACCAGAGTGACTTGTGATGGCTCCGACTGTTGTGGTATGACATGCTGCAGAGACGTGCAAGACAATGGGCAGGTGCCAGCACCGGCCTTTTACGTAAGCTTCGATCGGAGATGTCTGGTTTCGCCCACGGCTATGATGTGAAGAAGCACTTGCCTCGCGGCTTTTTCAAAGGCAGATTCAGCCCACGGGAGAGATCAAGGAGTCAGAAGCTGTCCTTACTCCTGTCGGTGTCGGCCCTTTACCCGCCCGTTCACGTCAATCAAGAGAAGTCTTGAATGCCGCTTTCGGGAGCCTGGTTCTGGAGCTGAGCTGAAGCGAGCACCCAATTTGTTTGCTCACTTGGAGAAGCACATCTGGTGCCTCACTGTCCCAGACATGTTTCGAAGCGGCACCCATGCCGGTTGCACAGAAGACTACCTAAAGATACCTAAAGGTACCTAAAGATGTGTGCATGTACATTTGTGTTTCTGTCGTGGTCCCGATCCGACAAGCACTGGCATGTGTTTTTGCTGAACCAGTTGGAGACGTGTGCTTCTCTGTTTTGAGCACATCACGTTTGATCGCCGTGTCTGAAGGCAGAAGCCATCGTGAGGCTTCAGAGCCAGGCGGGACACACGATACATTCACCAATGATGATCAGAAGCAGTGTCAGTCAGGTGAAAGAGCTTTCTGGAAACCTAGCAGAGGCTCGCCATCAGGACTCTGCCCCACGCAAAGAGCCCCGGCCTGTCCGCAGCCTCTTTTGGCATCCTTTTGGCTCTGCAGAGGAGCAGCAGTGGGCCAGCATTGCAAAGCGCCAGCGCGCGTACCTGCAACAAAGCCGCTCTCCCGCGGAACAAAGCCGCTCTTGCTTTGTGCATTTGATGTTTCAGACGGGCTGAGGTGAACGCATCTCACAAGAAGGGATGCAAATCCTGAGGCCGCTCTTAGGTGATGCCAACAAGTTTGTGTTTTTCTGTACTGACGAGGCGGCATCCTGCAGGTCTCCACCTGAAGCGTCAGAAGCAGAGCGGTAGCCCAGGGCAGGGCGGATCAATTCTCAGGCGAAGTGTTCCTCGCACCCGCGCCGGTCTACGACGACGAGGAAGCTAGGGAGGAGCCTGTGCCGGCTTCTGAGGAGAGGAGCTTGCGTTAGGGATTGCGTGAAGTCTTTGGAGTTGCCGAGGTGGGATGTTGGAACCGGAAGAACGAGCAGCAGCAGTCCAAGGGAGTGTTGGTTTCGCCTTGGAAACTGCCGACCTTTGCAGTGCTTGAGGTGGTGGCAGTTCGCATTGCAATCCCTACGTCATCGATTCCTGGCCGTTCGAGCCAAACGTCCTCGCTGCACGCGCGTGGAATTCCGAGCTTGGTTCAGTAGCAAAGGCTTGTTCCTACATGGGACAGGGACGGGCCTGAAACATGCAGGTCGGTGCCGCCCAATCTCAACCAGTGGGAGGAAGGCGACGAGGACTATGATGATGTGGATGAGGACTTGGACGAGGCTTCCGGAGAGCTTGATCGTCCCAAGCACTTGCGGGCAGCCTCTGTCAGTGCCAGGATGAGCATCCCCACTGGCAATGGGATGAGCAGGCGGATCCGGATGAGGTGCAAGACTGATGACTCCACTTGGTTTCAAGGGTCCTGGCCTGCCCCAAGGAGGACACCTCGAGCCTGGAGCCAGAACGAATGAAGGCCTGTTGAAACGACCCTGTGCCTTTCGTCTACGGAAGTGCTGTGGATGTGAGCTAGCGATGTTTCTGTGGGGCATGCTGGTTGGAAAAACCTTTGGCGAATACAAGCTGAGCTGGGCAACCCCTCACTTTGTTTACACTAAAATGGTCTCGATTTCTATAACGAATCGAATCAGCTTGAGCAGCGGAGCCCACGCCACTCTAGAATGCATGTTGTTTTGATCATTTTGATTCCAATCAGACGGGCTTAGATGCAACGAGAGCATGCCTTGAAGGGATGCCGGCCCCACCCGTCCCTGTCACAGGCTCCGTCAGCGTGTCGAGGCCAGAGACTAGCAACATGAGAGAGCCATTCCTCATTTCTTCGCCCGCCCCGCAGCGCCGTCGGCCGAGGCTCAACCTTGCCGCCATTGACCGTGGATACCTTGGCAAGTGCATGGCTGCATGAGTGATGGAAAGGGTGCCGTACATGGTGCATTGCTGCTTGTGACAGGTTCCCGTCGGCGGATCCTCTGCCAGAAGCCTGTGACTCCCCCCAGACGAAGATGATAAACAGGAATCCTATTCCTCTTACTGTGTGCCTCCAAGAATCATTTCAGGGGTCGCGAGCCGGCGAGCTCGAGCTTGCCAATTGGGCTTGGTTTGTAGGCTACTAGCAGTTCCTGGATGAGCTCCTCGCAGCTTCCAGGTGTATGTCGAAACTGTCAGTTTCACGCAGGCACATGTCCTGTGCTGGCCAAAACCTGCCAGTGAAGCACGACCACAGAACTGCGTGGCAAGGAAGTGTCGATAGCTCTGGACATGATTCGATCCTCGACTTGCAGAGCGGTTTCTGAGCGAGGGTGCGAGTCCGAAGTCTTGTGGTCAACGTGCAGCTAATGTTCTCCATCTGAGACCTTGTCACTGAAATGGCTCCAACTGAACAAACGACATCGTGAGGAGGAGAATAGCACCGTGTTTGTGCCTTCAGACGTGGTTTCAAGATCGGCCACGGCAGACTATATCGTCTGTCCGGTGTCAACGGAATCGTTTCACTGTTACGTCAGTCCATGCTGCGTTTCACGAGATTTGGCCCGCATGGCTGGATCCGCTTTTTCGGATGTATGCAAAACGGCCGCCCGAAGCAGCACATGTTCGATAAAAGCCTAACTTACCTAGCCATAGCTGTTTAGCCGTGCGCCAATGCTGGGTGTAGGTATCGACTGCAATACAGATGAATCTGCAAGATCGGTTCAGGGCACTGTCTCTGTCCTTTTTGATGCAGTGGTACGGTTCGTCCGAAGCATGCATGCATCTCATGCACCGTGGACCTCTGCTCAAGACATCGAGCGTCGCAGCTTAGTGCGTCTGCAGCAGGACAGGCCAGGCAGCAACAAGTGATTCATGCGCGGTGTTTGGACTGGGTATTCGGTCAGGCAGAGGCTATGGCGCTCTTGTGCGTCCCTCAGTGAGCCTTAGTGCCTCAAGTTTAACGACTGAGCCTCGGTACAGAATGTCTGGGTGAGGCCAGTTGCTTGAGCATTAAGGTGTGGATGCTGCACTGATCAAGGTGAGCCTGTCGAGGTACCTTTGCAGCTCTGTTCTATTGATCCAAGCTGTAGCACGGTGCTATCCTTCCCGATGCTCATGCTGCCTGGAGTGGATGCAGGCTGTCGATTCTGCCATCGATCGATTGAACGATAAGCCAAAGGTCGCTGTGCCTGATGAGGTGAGCACAGAAGGGCTGAAGGAAGCACCTGATTGCTTGCGTTGCGACTTTGTGAATTGGATTACAAGCTTGGCAGGCCAAGTTCGGAGATCCTGTAGCTGGAGCCTCATGTCCCTTAGAACAACACCGGAGTGCACAGAGCTTCGTCGACGTCAGCAGGCAAGCCCGCGCAACGACAGAGAGTTCGAGGTGCACCGCAGCCGTAGTTCAGGGCCTCTGCATCCTTCGCTCTGGCATCCTTTGACAGGTTGTGATCGAGAAAAGCCCAGATGATCAACGAATCGGCATCGGGCTCGTAAGACATTAGGGGCGGTCTGCTGCGCATGGGTTGAGTGAGAAGCAGGGTAGGTGTTCAGCAGTTTGCAAGCAACTCCAGGCTTAGACATCAGCGTTGTTGGTGGCAAGGTTCTCAAGGCCCTTCGCCTCGTTCCGACGTTTTTCCAAGCTTGTTCGGAGACGATGATCGGACTCGCGCAGTCAGGAAAGACCCGTAAACGCATATGCAGCGTCGTGTGCTTCAGTGCTTGTCTTGGCAGGTCTGGAAAGTAAAAGACGGCCTCGTCAACGAGTGGAACAAGAATCAACCGACTGAAATGCAGGCCAGAAGTCAAAGAATCACTACGTCAGCTCCGCTGTATACGGCGGTAGGCATTGGTAGACGGACATGCCATCACGGCCCCTCTTGCATTGTTCGAGGTAAAGGGCGGCGATGCAGTAGTCGCTGTGAACGGCAAGCGTGGCAGCCTGCTGCTGAATGCTTCAGTGCACGACGGTGTGGTCCGAGAACGACTTCCGAACTAAGGTGCTGATCAGCTATTGGATGAAGTGTCCAAGGGGCGGTCTCTCTGGCATTTTGTGCTGCTCACATCAGCTGCTCGTGGCTGTTGCATGGCAGGAAAGTGACGATACTGATCTCGCGGGGAATGTTCGCATGAGCGGAAGGTAAATCACGAAACTCTCATTTGTCAGGACAGGCTGCAAAGGCATCTTGCCCGTGTGGAACCATCTTTGACCATGCAACATTGTTGGTGCACAAATCTCGGCGGTTCTCTATGGAACACAGTCGGGTTTGGCCACCGACTGCCGACTGCTCGACACAGGCACCAGTGGCAGTATGCAGTGTAGAACGTCTGAACCTTCTCAGAGCTACAGGAAGTTCTTTCGGTACTGATTCTGTTGGGTTGACATCTGCCGTGCCCATGTGCCATAAAGGTATCCTGTCTAAAGCATGCCTCTTTTCTTGTGCAGTTTTGGATATTGCTGCGGGACACCTGCAACTTGTTGAGCCCATCGCGACTATGTGTAGTGACTTGTGGCAGCAATATTTGTTTCTGCACAGGAGTGTTTCACCATCGCCTGCAAGACACCACAAGATGCTCTGAACCAACCACAGAGAGCAAGCACAGTAGCAGCATCACGAACGTCAAGGATTGTTCAGCGCATCTTGCTTGAGACGCGTCTTCTCGACAGTCATCAACCGCTTCCAGAAAAGCAGCGCCCTGCACAACTTCACGCTGAATGGCCGATGAGTTTCTCGCATGCTCGGACCCGCCTCGATCGACGACAAGTCTGGAGAGGATTCGATAAGCTCGTGAAGTGATCACCACCCCCCCTCCGTCGTGAAGGTTTGCGCTGATTTAGTGGCAGGAGGGAAGGGGACCCCTCCCCACTGTTTGCAGAACCCCATCTCACCCCCCCTTCGGAGGTTCTCAGGCAGTGTGATACCTGACGAACTCCAGAGAGCACCCCGTCGCCGCAATGTTCCCCTGCATACATGGTGTTTCATCAGACAGATCACTCAACTAAATATATACTTAGACATATTCTCATGTGTGTGTATATGTACATATATATATATATACACATACATATATATATATATATACGCACACCTAAATACTATAGAATATGTATACTTATTGTGAGAAACTCCTGGATGTATCTGCCGTTGCCTGGTCACAGCCGGCCCGAGCCCAGCTGGTGCGCTGGCACATAAGGGCGAGCTTGAACTACGCGTCCGCTCAAGACTTATGGCTCCCTGGCTGGTAGGTTTCCTTGACCTCCTGGTTGCGGGTTCTAGTTCAGGGTGGTGGGGTTTGGCCTGCCCGGCACATTGCTCCAGCAGTCTTTCCTCCACCGCGGCCATCTTCATTGCCGGAGCCTCCTGTGGGGCCCTTTGCACCCTCTTCTGTCTGCGTGACCTGCTGCTGCGGGAGGATCTTCTCAGAAGAGAGCCTGTGGTCCGAACTTCGAGGCCTCCGCGGGGGCCCTCTTCCAGGCTTTCGGGATATTTGGATGAGTGAGGGTGCCTCCTCAAGCACCGTGGATATAGATTCCCTCTCGCGTGCCGTGGCCCAGCTTCACCTCGCTACCGGCAACCTTGCACAGGCCCTTGAGAGGCCGGCCAGCCCTGACGGCTGGGTTGTTGTCAACGACACCCCGGGCACTCCTCCTAGGACCCCTAAGGACCCTAATCACGAACCTAAGCAGAACGCCGCTGCCTCCCCCGCCCCTAAGTTTCGGTTTAGGCCTCCCCCTTCGCAGGCCAGCCGGCCTTTGTCCTTTCAGGACTGTGTGCATCTGTGCTCTTCTTTGGGGCCTTCTGTGCGTGAGCAGCGAGCTGCCCGGGCCTGGTCTGCAGGCCGTTCTGCCGCCCGAGTGCTCTCAGGTGAGACCGACTTCGTGGACGCCACGCCAAAGCTGGAGGTTAGGTCCAGGCTGTACGTTGTGCTGCGCCACTCCTCGGGAAAGCCCCCGGCTGTTTATCGAGACTTCGCCTCCTTCAAGCGAGAGGTGGGCCACTTGCCCGGAAGCTCCACTGTCTGCCACGGCTTCCCCACCGAAGGTGAGGCCCGTGTGTTCTGTGTGGCCGCCGGCTGCCCCTTCCCGACAGAGCAATGACTACTTTAGCCCAGCTGTCTTTTGCCTCGGACGGTTATGTGCAGCCCTTCCTCGCCCGGCCCCCGGTGGGTGGATCCCCTGGAGAGCCCGAAAGACAAGTGTTGTGCATACCTGTGATGCCCCGGCAGGGTGGCTTCCTGTTAGCCTTGCCCGTGGGCGCAGTTCCCCCGAACCTGCTGGCACAAGGCAACGAGGCCGACCCTTCGGCAATGTTCGGCCCCTCTACGACACTTACGGTGCCAGCGGTGGTAGAGGAGGAGGATGGTGGGGAGGTTCCTGCAGGCTTGGCCCTAGAAGTGCTGGTCGTGGATTTCTCAGAGAGCGCGTGCGAGTTTCTGGAGCCCTACGACCCCCTGCTGCTCATCGACCGCGTCCTTTTGCCCCGGACGCCCCAGGCTCATTTCCGGAAGGTGCCCAGCTCGTGTCTTTGTGCAAAGCCTGGGCGCGCACCGTGGCTGCAGAAAGGACTGCCTTCTACTCTGCTCTGGAGGCAGAGCAAGGAGACCTGGACCCGAGTGTCACCGGGGGGCGCCTCAGCGCCCAAAGCAAAAGAGGGTCACTACGAACCAGCTGGCCGAGCAGATAGGCAGCATCTCCGAGCTGCTCCCGGCCCTGAGCAGCCAGCTGCAGGCCCTTACCGAGAAGCAAGAGGCCTTCGAGCAGAAGGTCTCTATGGGAATTCCGGCGACGGCCTCTGTGCCTGCCCATCGCCAGCCATTTGCGTTGCCGGCCATGGGGGGCCCCACCAGCAAAGCAGGAGCAGCCAGGAAGTCACTTAGCCGAAGGACAACCGGCGGGCCTCTTGATAAAACGGGTTCATATATCTCAACGCCCGCCCACCACCTATGCAAAAGCCCAGGGCCCTCACCCTCCAAGCCGGGAGGGGGGCAGCACACATGAAGCACAGGCTGGGAAGCAAAGCCGGAGGGCAGCAGGGAGCAGGTCAGGACCCCTGACCCTTTTCCTTTGGAGGCGTGGGGAATCTGGGCTTCCGAGAAGCCCGCTTCGGGGCAGTATCCTGTTCGTCGCGTGCCGTGTGGCCGGAGCTGGTGGCTCCTCCCGATGCCTCGTTTCTCCTTGCCAGGATGGAGTCGGTCTCCTTCAGAAAGGCCAGGGCTGTGGTCGCCCAGGTGGGCGGGCATAACGGAGCAAATGCCCTGAGCCTCGGGTTTTGTGGAGCCCCTCTGTTTGAGAACACCTGGCTCGGGGGCTCGGCAAACAGGCTCAGCGTGTAGGCCACCTCGAATTTGCCATGGTCGAGGGCGGCCTGCTCCAGACACACCATAAGGAGGGAAAGAAGGTCCAAAGCGCCCTCTTCCGACCCCGCGATCAGCATGTCCGAGACCTGACAAACCATATACATGATAAGGCCCAGGTCCTTCTGGTGCTGGTACCCGCCGTGCCTCTCCAGGTACTGGGAGAAAGTGAACCTCCGGGGCTCTCGCCTGAGCTCTTCCAGGCTCTTCGGGGCCGCCTCGGTCGGGAACATCCTGCGGTGCCCGTTTTGAGCCACAGCCAGCATGAAGTTCCCCGTCTGCAAGGAGAGTTCGGCCTGGAGCTTTTCTCGCTTTGCGCTGGCCCGGGAAGAAAGCCCTGCAGAGGAAGGGCCTGAGGCGAAGTCTCCTGATGCCTCGGAGGCCTGGATGAGGTGCCCCACTAGCTGCGTGAGCGCCTCGGTCTGCTGTGCCAGGGCGGCAGCCATCGGAGGAGCCCCTGTCTCCACCATCTCCCCTAAACCACCCAAGCTCGGAGGCTCCTGCACTGCAACGGTCGGACCTGCCGGCTCTGCTCTTGCTTTCGGAGGAGGGCCCAAGGCACCTGCCGCAACGCTCACGAAGACAGCTCTCTTGACTCCAATCCGAGAGCGAGCGGCCGAGCCCAAGTGCGGGGGAAGCGCCCGGAAGATGCCAAAGTAAGGCAGGGGCAGCGGGAACAAGGACTTGGAAGGCGTCTCATGAGGCGCCGGAGAAAGGTGCAAAAGCGAACCAAGAAAAACTCCAAAGGGCGTCTTGGTCCGGACGATACGGTAGAAAAGGCTGAGGGACCACCTCCGGAAAGTGAGGCGAGGCGGCTGTGCAGGCTGAGCTTCGGGCCCTTTAGACCGGTTCCTCAGCCGAGCCTCGCGAGGTGGTTTCACGCACGGGGCCTTCCCAGCAAAGGGGCCCTGAACTACCTCTATGCTGGGCTTCGGCCCGTTGCTCATGCCCCCCTGCAGTGCGGTCGAGGCGGTTGATCCTGTCTCGGCCTCGCGCCGGTCTTCTAAATTAGCTGCGTGCTTGGAACAGGTGTGCCAGGGCCTCACCTCGCTGGGTCCCTCTTTCGACCGCTACGGGCCTGCCTTCCCTGGCCTTCCGCTGGACTAGCAGACCGCTTTCGATGCCTTGCACCCCTACCGAGGCCTCGACCCCTCTCGCCTTAAGCTTGCTGGCAGGGCAAACTGGGACCCGTCCGACTTCCTCGACGATCTGTTCTATATGCCCTTCCGAGAGCCTCAGGTCCTTCTGCTTCCCGGCGTCGGCCCTCCTGGAGCTTATGAGGTTCCCGACATTTCCCGCGAGGTGCCCTCCCGGGTGCTAGCTCTTGCAAAGCTGTGGGACAGCTTCGGCCTCCTGCGTTTGAGCCGGGACGGGCCCGAGACGCAGGACCAAGCCGTCCGTGTTTTCAATGCTGCAAAAAACCGGGCCACGGACAGGCAAATAGGGGATAGGAGGGGGAGAAACAGACACGAGGGAGTCCTCCAAGGAGGCTCGTCACAGCTCCCTTGCGGTCCTGCGTTGTGTGGCCTCCTCCTGAATCCCAAGAGCCACTGCTTCAGGATAGGGGTTGCTGATAGAAAAGATTTCTATCACCAGCTCCAGGTGCCCTACAGGAGGAGCTTGCGAAACGTGTTGTGCCCGGCGCTTCGCTCAAAAGACCTCGCCGGCCTTGCTGCCTTCGACTGCTCCCCCTGCCTTGCCGACTCGCCTAGCGGCATCTCTGCGGAACCTGCCTGGCCTAAGGAGGTCTTTGCCTGTTTCGGAGCTATCCTTCAGGGAGATGCTCTCGGAGTGGAGTTCGCTTGCTCTTGCCACTCAAACTTGCTTTCTGCCTATGGGCTTTTGGGTGCTGACTCCAGGCTGCAGGGTGGAAGCCCGTTTCCGTGCGGCGCCGAGCAGGACCTCATCGAAGGACTGGTGATCGATGATTGGTTTGCGGTGGCCTGCCAGCCCGTTGGTGAGCAAGGGTCGTCGGCCGCCGGGGCTGCCTTTGCTAGGGCCCAAAAGGCCTACAGTGAAACGGGGCTCTTTGGGTCGCCCAAGAAGGACATCTACGAGGCCACTTGCGCAACGATAGCTGGCGCAGAAGTCGACTCGTCAGAAGCTACACGCCAGCTCGGCCTCGCCCTTGTGGGGCCCGCCAAGGAAAAGCACATAGCCCTTGCTGCCTTGTCCCTCGAGGCTGCCCGCTTGCCCCGCACGTCCGACAGCCTGCACTTGTCCCTTACCGGGGCCTGGGTGTCAGCTTGCTTGTTCCGGCGCCCTTTTATGAGTGTGCTTGACCGGGTGTTCCGCCTTGTTGACGTTGCCGGGGTGAGTCCTGAGAGCCCGAAGGCCTACCCCTTACCGAGGCGCACCGCCAACGAGTTTGTTGTGCTCTCGGCGCTGTCCTTTGTCCTCACCTGTGATGTCTCTGCTCCCTGGTCGAGCACCCTCTTTGCTACCGACTCCTCCTCGGGGAAAGGGAGCCGTCGTCGAGGCAGAGGTAGGCCCTGAGGCGACGGCGCTTTTGTGGCGGTTTGACCCCCGTGCTGCTTCAGCCGGCCGTCTTTTGTCAAAAGGCAAGACCGTGCTCCACCAGATCGACCCCGACCGGGAGCCAGCTATCGAAAGAGGCTCCAGGAGAGAGGCCTCGACGGCCCCCCGCGTGCCGCTTTCACTTTCTTGAGCTCTGGGGGTCTGGGGGCTCTCTGTCTGTGCTCGTTGCTGCCTTTGGGTGGACTACCGGCCCGTGCATAGACCCGGCTGTGTCCTGTGAGTACGACCCTGCAGCGCCCCGGGTCTTCGAGTGGATTTCGTTCCTTGTTGAAAGGGGCAGGGTTGATGCAATTGGCATCTCCCTGCCGCTTGCCACTTTCTCCAAGGGCCATCGGCCTCCACTCCGCTCCCCCTCTAGGCCTTTCGGTTTAGACCCTTCTGCCCCTAAGGTTAAGAAGGCGAACCAGTGCGCCCTTAGAGCCCTCGCCCTGCTTAAGGTTTGCAAGCTGCACGGCATCCCCGGTGTACTGTTGCACCCCGTTGCCTCTTTTGTGTCTGCCTTGCCGCCTTGGGCTGACTTTTGCCGCCGTCCTGACTCCGGCCTTGCGAGGTTGCCCTGGGATTGGGCCGAGCCTCCGCTCCAACTTGTCACTGTGTGCCTTCCTTCCCTTGCTGAGGCCCTTTCCGTCTGGAGGCTTGAGGCCCTCGCCCCTCCCGAAGGCGATGCTGCCCGTGAGCTTGCTTTGCATCAGGCCGCCGCTCTGTTGGACTTAGGGCTTGCGAGGCGTTCGGCTTCCCTCGCTGCCTGCCGCCTTGACACCGCTGGGCTCGAAAGCACCTTTGTCCTTTGTCAATGACCTTGCCCTCTCCGCCTCCTGGAAACTCACAAAGGCCTGGTCTTGGCCTCGCCCGGTGCACATAAACATCCTCGAGTCTTCGTGTGTTGCCAGGCTCCTTGGGATTGTTGCGAAGCGGGGTTTCCCGGTCCGGTTTGCTTCGCTCTGTGACTCGAATGTCTCGCGTTGTGCCCTGACCAAAGTGTTAAGTTTGGTAGATGGGAATGTGTATAGAAGTGTATAGTATCCCCACACCCTTTGGAGAGCCCAAGGCTACGGCATGTAATATGCATGTG